TATTAATAATACATCATTTTATCACATTTTTAATTTATAAATTAAAGTGCTATTATTTTAAAAGGTTCACTTTTTCTGAAATTGAAACTTTTGTTTCGGCTTTTAAGGAAATTATTAATTGTCCATTATCAGAATAAAGCAAGATAAATCATCGAAATACTTTTTTTAATTAGCCATTGTTTTAACAGCACATGATAGAAAATTACCCGATTATATATAATTTTTCCCCAACGGAGATAAATAGCTTCTTTGTGAACGAAAATGACTTTTTGATACAAATTTCGATTTGGTGTAAGTACTTGAGCTATTTTTCTCTTTATTTTAAGACCAAACATGCTTTTTTGGTATATTTTAATCTTAAGATAAAGAGAAATAGATAAGAAAGAGAATAAATAGAGAGTAAAAAGAAATTTTACTCTTTATCTATTTTTATATATGTAATAATCGAAGGATCTATTTTAAGGAAACCACCACTATGAACATAGTGTTAAAATACTAGTGATAAGCGCGGACGAATAATAGGATTTCTCATACCTTATACTATAAATATAAATATGATTATTGATTGCATAAATTATACAATACTGTACATACATAAACAATATCAAAACTTCTACAAGAAGTCCAAAAAAATAAATAATTCTTTCATTTATTTTGTCAAATTTTCTTGAATGTTTTATAATTTTTTTTTTTTAATTTTGTATAATACTATTTTAAAAAAAATTATTTTAATTCTTAAATTATGTGAACCATAGCAAATAAAATCACCTACACATACTTATTATCAAAGTTTAAAAACATCCCTGAAAATAGCCGCATACTAAAAATTATTATTATTTTTAATATTAAAATATTCTCTGCCAAAAACTTGTAAATAAAAAGGAAAATTTTGTTAAATGCTGGTTTAATTTAGAAAAGGTTTTCATAGATTTCGAATTAATAATACTGTATATAACGTCAGCTTCCACTACAGAAAATTTGTATTTATAATGAATGTTTTATATACAACAACATATTTATTCAATAAAACAATCTGAAAACAGAAAAAGAGAAATATTAAAATAGAAAAAATCGCAGCTGGATTAACATACAAAATTTCTAAAATTCGCTTTAAAAGGTTTAGAAATTAATTTCTAATAAATTTTCGACAATTATCGAAAATATAACAATACAATTATCATTAAGATGAAATTATTTTTCATTGATTATTACAGTCAAAATAAAAAATATAGGCCTATATTTTTATTGTTGACTGTAATAATATATATATATTAAGAGTAAATAATTATATACGACGAACAATACGCAATTTATAATTTGAAATTCTATAAAGACTCTCGGGGTACTTTCCTTAGAATGAGGAAAGTAAAGTTAAATTTTCCTTATTTTTTAAATGTCAAATACTGAATTTGCGTCACTCGAAACTTAGAAGAACTTCCTCAAAAAAAAACAGCATTCTTTGATTATACCGTTAGAACAATTAAAATATTAAAACGAAATTTCACTCCTTATAGATTAATATCGAGCTTCGAGAATCGATTTTTTATAGTTTATATCATATTATATTAATAGTCTATATCAGGGGTGGCCAACCTGCAGCTCTTTGAAGGATTATTTGTGGCTCTCGATAAACGTACCCGAGTTCCCTTTTCATTTTTGTGTTGTTATATTTTTAAAAATTATTATCGTTCCGTATGTGTTTCAAAATGTCTTTTAAATTACTAACAACAAATATGAAAGACTAAGTGCAACGTTGCAACAAATTTCATTTCCGTCCAAGTTAAGGATGATATGACTCATCGAAAACTGCGCAAACGAACATAAACAGTTGCGTAATCATCCGTTATCGACCGACTCCAGACCGATTTTGAATTTGTAAACTGTCATTGCAACGGACAGTTGACATTATGCTCTGGAGGAAACAATTTGTATCACTCTTGCTACGGATATAATTTGTAATCTGGAATTTTTTGCACACCTTTTTAATACGTATTTAATTACGGCTCGCGAAAAATATCAAATTTTTAAAAATGGCTCGGACTATCAAGGAGCTTGGCCACCCTGGGTCTATATCATATAATGTATTTTATATATGAGTATATAATGCAAGAAAAAAATATTAATGAAACAATATAAAAAGAAAAAAATAGTCACGTCAATCGTATTAACGCATATTTTTCTTTTTTTTTTTTATTTTATGTGTTTTAAAATTGTTTTTCGCACTATAAAATCAATAATTTATTAAGACTACATTCAAACATGTATTAAACTTAGTTAAATTACTTTCTTACAACAGAGGTAATGCTGTAGACCAGTGGTTTTCAACCCGGTGCCGCGGAATAGTGCTGAGCAGCACCATAACACTTCTTATTACGGGGTGCCATTATACAGCTAGTGGAACTGAGTTGAGCGCCACCTGTACGCAAAGAAAACTGCTTCAGGAAAACACATGCATCTTGGGTTGAATATGTGGGCCCTTAGTCTCGAGTTTTTTGTGTTGTACTCGAACTGACGTCATCGAACTCACTCGTGTTACTATGACTCACATAATTGATAGTCTCGAGTTAGACCCTTCGAGCGAACTCGAGAGGCGAGCGGAATACGTCATACTCACTTGGTCGCGTATATCGTCAAGCATGATGGGATTATTTACAATGCATCTGGGTTTGCGACTATAATGATTCGACCAATCAACTTAACTGTAACAAGTTGTAAACAAATCAACGCGAATTAGTTTACACGTGCTACAGTTAAAAGTTGTCTTATAGCAATATAGTACGCAGAAACAAAATGAAAATTTCCAATGTTTTATTTTAAGAAATAAGCAAAAAACAAAAAGAAATATTAGTAACATGTGCAGAAAATAAAAAGAAAATGAACAGTGGAAAATTCCAAAACAAATTTACAAGAAAAGGACAATTTGCTTTGTGAAGAGAATTAGTTGAAAAATTAATTGCGTATGTTGGAGCTAAAAAATCCCTTATGTAATGGAAAATGTATTTAAATTTAATCCTTTTTTCATATAGTTTTCTTCCTCGATCTATTTCTTAAATTGTTTTGTCTATTAAGATTATTTATTAATCAGAACTTAACACTTCTGATTAATAAATAATCTTAATATAGTGTTTATGCTTTTAATAACTTAGGCCTATACATATAATTTGGTATCATTTTAATATTCTTTTTTCGATGAATTAGATACTTCTTTTTATTTTTGGAAAAATTTGCTGTATAATTTTATCAATTATGAATTAAAATTTTTTTGTTAGTATTGACTCGACACGAAAAGAAATCTCATATACTCGTGGTCGAAAAATTCAATTTCCTTCTCAAACAACGTCTTTCGGCTTTTTCTTCGATAGCGATAAGAATTACGTATTTGACATATTAAAAAGTTACATTTTTGTCTTAACGTAATAAAAATATTTTTATTCAACATTCACCATAAGTGATAAATAAAAATGATGATGGTGAATGTTGAATGTTGAATAAAATATTTTTATTACGTTAAGACAAAAATGCAACTTTTTAATATGTCAAAATAGGAGAAAGCTTAAGTAACAGCAATGTAAATAAACTGTTGAACCTAAAATGAACAGTACATTCTAAATCATTAAAGATAATAATACGATAATAAACTTGCACATAAATTATGTGATTAACGTTATACATTCTTATTTATTGCAACAACTTAAACTGTTATGGCACTTTGAATTGCACAAGAGTCCCTTGTTTCACAACTGCATTTATTCGTAGAACACTTCTTTTTGCAATGACAGCGTGTATAGCCTTGACCTTCACTTTTCGAATTAGCTGCAGCTGTATCTCTCAGCGATATTTCTTGAGAAGAAATCTCATCTATGGAAAGTAACTTTTTTTTACAAATTACGAATTGATTACGAGTATAAAGCTGCTTCAGGGTACCATTTTTGTTTGCTAATTAATACCTAAAAGTTGGAATATTTTATTCCAACAACAACCACCAACACATTTCGGGCATCTGTACAGACACGGTCGACACAGGGACTTGTATTCGTACGGTATCACCAATTTGAGCAGAAGGAAACGGCGAAGAATTTAGCGACAGACTATCGCCTCTCTGTCCACATCGGCTTCTCGGGTGTGGTTTCGACCTCCACCAAAGCTTATCTGTGCTTGTCGACATACACCGGCGATTGTNTTAAGGATTCCTCTACTTTTCATCGACCTCTTCTTTTTTTTAATACAGTAAATAATACCATGATGGATACGGAAGGGGGAAAAAAAACATATTTATGAGCAAAATTGCTTTTGAAGCTTTGCTAATACAGTACAGTGATACCTCGACTTACGCTACCCCACAGAACGGTGAATATAACTGAATCTTCAACTTGATATATTACTTAATGATTCATGCTCTGATATCAAAGCTGGCGTCAGACATTTCTCTCGGTTCTGAAATTCTATATAGAGTGATCCGTTTAATCAATATACTGGAATCCTACAAAAAAATTTTGAACAATGGTGTTAAACTTCAAAGTGCCACAAGATGGGGCTATCGTTTCATCATAGATGGTGCTTCAATTGGTGGAAATAAATATCCGTGAAGAAACACTTATGTATATTAAACGCATATATTTTTTATTATACTCATTTACATTTACAAAGTTATTACTGAAATTAAATATTTTAAAATAAAAAAAATTGAAATTAAAATGTTATTAAAATAATTCTGTAAAGAAGTAAGTAATTCCTGGATAACCGAAAATAAAGGAATAAGGAATACATACAGGAAAAACATGATTTAATAGTAGCTAAGCTATTATCTGTGTTATTTATGTCTTTCTTTGAGACGAAATTCTTTAGAATTTAGAATCTATCTCTCTACATGTTTATTCTTTTCTCATTCAGAAGCACAACATATATATTTCATTTTTGATATCATTAATTGATAATTTGTTGTAAAAATGTACGTTATTCTCAAGAAATTTAGAATATATTTTTAATATTATCATATTTACATTAGTTTCCTTTTCATATAAAGTAGGCTCTCGATTCAACGGACTACTGTAATTAGAGGAAGGGATGTCCGCTATTGCCGAAAGTCTGCTAAATCGAATAAGTTTTAAAAATAATATATTAATATCGAACTTACATCGTATAAAATATACCAAAATGCTCTTATTATAAGTACAGTATTGTATGAATAATTATTACAATTCTCAGTACATTAAGTAATTTATATTCATTGACTTATCTGTTGGCGTGTTCTACCTGCGAATAAAAGAAATTATGGATTTTCCTTTTAGGACAAACTTTTTTGTCCGTTATAGCCGAAATTTGTTAAATCGAAAGTCTACCGCCGGTTTTTTCAGCCTTTTTCTAATAGAGCTAGTGGAACTCAAGGTCTTAGATTATAAGACCTTGAGTGGAACGACGAAACTAGATCGAGGCGCCTCTAGCGGCGATGCCGGGTAACAGAATCGGGGCTATAAAGGCGGTACCAGTGCTCTTCTACCTAGTACTTTTGTACTAATCTAGTACCTTTTCACTTGTTCCAATACCATTTTCCTAGTACCATTCATGAAATCCCAATTTCCTTTCCTTTCTATTTAGTACCTTTCAGAACATTTATTTTTATTCTATATTTCTATATATTTTTATTTTACTTTGGCAGTAAATACATGTTTTTATTGCTTCCTCATTTAAGTGCAGCAGTTGAACGTATTTTTTTACAATTAAATTTAATAAAAATTACAAAATCGAGTTCTTACCGATTCCTGTAAAGCACTGTTATTAGCATAGGAGCTACTTAAAGGCAACAACGGTAAAGTGTTACACTTGGAAGCCATCATCTGCTTCAACCATACAAAAACATTCTAGCGAAGAAGATTCTGATGATGATGATCTTACCAGTGATTTTTCAATGTGATAATTTTAAAGTTTAGTACTTCATGTTCATTACTATTGTTTCAACATTTTGTTCATTTGATTGTTGTTGAGGAATAATAGCATTCTTGCAATATATGAATTTATCTTGTATGAATTTTGTATGTTACATGTAATACTACATATTTTNACATGTAACACTATATATATTTTAATAAATAGAAATTTGATAAATTATAAATTTATATATTATTTAAAAGTATATATTTAAATAATATATAATATATACATACATTCGGCAGTTTAATGGTCAAAGTAATGCCTACATTAGTCAATACAGTTACTTCTTGACTTACGACGGGATTCTGTTCCGCAACTTCGGACGTAAGTCGAGAAGTGACTGACTGTACTTAACAATAAAACAGTAAGCCTTCTTAAACAAGCGTTTAATAATCTTATTTGAAATAAAGTATATGAAAATGAAATTGTAAAAACGTAAGGGTGTACGTAATTTTGAACTGTGCCCTGTAGGATCTAAGAGAATTTTTATATCATATCCACCGTGGGCCTGAATTCGGCTAAGCAACTTCCATTGTGAGCCTGACCAAAGACCGACGTATCCGGGCAGAATGCCCATGATAAAATTTCTTGGGTCCTCTTACTATCCGAAAAGTCTCCCGGAATTTTCACAGCAGTAGGCTGACATAAAGCTCTCGATCAGAGGGTCGTCAAAATTTTTTGACTGTCGAATCTTTTAAGGATTCCTCTACTTTTCATCGACCTCTTCTTTTTTTTAATACAGTAAATAATACCATGATGGATACGGAAGGGGGAAAAAAAACATATTTATGAGCAAAATTGCTTTTGAAGCTTTGCTAATACAGTACAGTGATACCTCGACTTACGCTACCCCGACTTACGCGAACTCGGAGTTACGCGATTTTCAAATCTCGTCGATTCGTCTTTTGTTTGAGCACCACGCAACTCTTGATTACTCATTCCCTCCACACTATTGCTCAACTTACATGTTCGGACGTGTCGCGCGGAATCGACACATAGCTACAATTTATTTTGTTATTTATTTCTGTGTTTGTTATATCTACGGAGACTCGAGAGACTCTATGTGCTGATTTCTTGTAACAATGAACGAATCAAAAGACGAGATAAGATTAACGAGAACATTTATTAGCTTACATACATCCGACTTGGATTTTACACACATTGAAAAATTATACCCCGACTTACGCGAATTCGACTTACGCGGTTATCGCTCGGTCCCACCTATCGCGTAAGTTCGGGGTATTACTGTATATTAATCTTCTTTTTTACTTTCCCAACTGTTACATAAAACAGAGGAAAATGACTCCCATTTTTACATTTTTAGACATAGAACACCCTAAAACGCAAAAAATGCAAAAATAAAAATAACAATCTAAATATATAAAATTACTTGTCCTGACTGACTGAATAACTGATTCATCATCGCCCAGAGCAAACCGCTTAACCTAGAGGTGAAATTTGGTACACAGTTAGGGTAACTCATGAAAACGCGCACTAAGAAGGGATTTTTCGAAATTTCCCCGCGGGGGAGTGGGAGAGCATTAAGGCTTAACCGGAAGAACGGCTTCTACTGTACTATTTTAGATGCGATTTTTTTGTTTTCAACTACGTTTAGTCTTTATTGAGTACTTAGGTGTATTAAATTGATAACATTTCAGACATTGTTATAAATATTTTCATATATTTCGATTTTTTAACAAAATGTTCGAACCGTTTTAAATTCGAATTTGTTATTGCATATTGTATTCGATTATAGAACGACTAGCTGTTACCCGCGGCTTTGCCCGCGCGGATTTTGCAAGCAAACCCCATTTATATTCAGTATTTCAACAACCATTTATTTATTTCATTAACCAGTATTTATATAACACCTACCAACGAGAATGATGAGAATTGCCGAGAATCAAACGAACTATTTTCAATTTGATCAATTTTCTGGAACTTTTACAATCGTTCTATAATCGAACCAATATACAATAACAAATTCGAATTTAAAACCGTTTGAACATTTTTAAAATCGAAATAGATAAAAATATTTATAACAATGTCTGAAATGTTATTAATTTAATACACCTAAGTACTCGATGAAGACTAAATCCTCTCCTTCTCCCGCCTGCGGGGGAATTTCGAAAAATCCCTTCTTAGTGTGCATTGCCGTGGCATACCCTACAAAAACACAGATAAAAACAAAAAATCGCATCTAAAATAGTACAGTAGAAGCCGTTCTTCCGGTTAAGTCTTAATGCTCTCCCTCTTCCCCGCTGGAGAATTTCGAAAAATCCCTTTAGTGTGCATTCTCATGGCATACCCTACCACAACGCAGATAAAAATAAAAATATGCATCTACAATAGTACAGTAGAAGCCATTCTTCCGGTAAGGCCTTAATCCTCTCCCTCTCCTTCGAAATTTCCCCCAAGGGGAAAATTTCGAAAAATCCCTTCTTAGTGTGCGTTTCCATGACGTACCCTAACTGTCTACCAAATTTCACCTCTTTAGGTTAAGCGGTTTGCTCTGGGCGATGATGAATCAGTGAGTGAATGAGTGAGTGAGTCATTCAGTCAGTCAGGACAAGCAATTTTATATACAGTAGAACCTCGATTATCCGGACTAATTGGGGATGAAGGTAGTCCAGATAAGGGAAAATCCGTATAATCGAAACAAATACTTTAATTTGTCTTTTAATGATAATACAACACGTTTTCTTTTCGATGACATATCGGTAATATTAAAAGTAAATACTATATTTAAATCGTGATCAAATTTTCAAGAAACAAACGTTCATATTGAATTTGTACTACTACTGACCAACGCTACCAGACTACCTATTGTTTAAAAGGCCTTCTGGTGGCGCAAGAAGACGAATTTTATAAAATAAAAAGCAGTTGAAACTGCATTTTTATGAATAAAAATTTGACAAACTATTTATCGTTTTATGAC